TGTAATTTAACAACTTAAATTTATACATTAATTAGTTGTTAAATTAATATCTATATAAATTCTTTTGATATTAATAATTTTATTGTTTCAATTCTTTATATTAATTTGAACTAAATTTTTACTTATAATTAAAAAAAATAAATGCGTTGATTAATACAATAAATTGTTAAATAAAGTTTACTGTAAAATTAAAACTATATTAAAAATATTATTAATTTAAAAAAACTAAAAAATATTAAAAATATTAAACTCAAAAGCCACAAAAAAATTAATGAAAAGTCGCGGATACGTATTTCGGAAACAATGTTACCATTATCAACGCTAAACACATACTGACACCCCGACTAGAAAAAACTCCCTTATATACCCCTAGTGACCTTATCACCTAGTGACGTTATCACTAAGTAATATTATCACATTTTGCCAGTTTACACAAGTTTAATAATGAATTTTTCAGTGGGCCAAGATCCCAATTAATTAAATTGTTTTTATTTTTAAACATTTCTATTGCTTCTCTGATATTAAGTTCTTTGTAATTATTTACGTTTTTAATTAGTTTTATGGTTTTAATAGAGTGATTATGTGTCAATAAATGTTCAGCCACTGGAGATTTCTCAATTTCTTGATTTTTAATATTTCTTAAGTGCTCTTTAAACCTGACCCCTATATTTCTTTTTGTTTGTCCTACGTAACATTTATTACAACTTTCACATTGTATTTTATAAATGCCTGATTTCCCCCCTTCATCTACCTTATCTTTAGGGTTACCTAATAAATCTCTTAAATTATTACTCTTAGATGTTACCAAAGTAATACCAAAATTCTTAAATATTTTAGTTAATCCATTTGAGATGCCCGGATAAAATAAAATTGGTGATCTAATTACTTTTTGTTCCCCCTCGCTGGAGAGTGTACTAGCTGCCCTCCTTTCTTTTTTCCACTTTTGTTTTCGGACTAATTTCAAAATTATGTTTTCGTTATACCCATTAAATTTAGCTATTTCTTTTATAACCACCAATTCTTTATCATAATCTATTTTATTCATCGGAATATTAATTAATCTGTAAACCATACTATTAAAAGCTGACAATTTGTGTTGCCAGGTGTGGTTCGATGTGTTCGGAATGTATCTGAACGTGTGTGTGTTTTTCCGATAAATTTCAAAATTTAGTTCCCCCTCTGTTCTTTTAACTAATAAATCCAAAAAAGGCAATTTTCCCTCTATTTCTTGTTCATATGTAAATTTAATCGATGGGTAAAAAGAATTTAAATGTTGTATGAAAACCCCCATATTAAAATCTTTATTTATAACTGCAAAAATATCATCGACATACCTAACCCAAATTTTTGGAAAATCACCATAAGTGTATTTTAAATTTGTTTCAATGAGTTTAATATTTTTAATATTTTTTAGTTTTTTTAAATTAATAATATTTTTAATATAGTTTTAATTTTACTTAATTAACTAGCCACAAGTGATCAATTTTTATTATATAAAGTTTACTGTATATTTTCATGGTATTGGTTTAATACTTTATTGCTTGTTTAAAGCTTTTAATTTTGTATCAATAAAAAATATTTTTTTTGTTATCCTGAAAACTTGCAATTTTGTACTTTAAGCCCTTTTCTGTATTAATTTTTTTGGATTAAAATCAATTCATTTTTATACAGGGTGGTCCACCACTCACTGACAACTTAAATAACTTTTGATCCAGTTAATATTTTTAGCTGATTTTTTTTTAAATAATTTAATAGTTAAAACGATCACTCTGGAGGACTTAACCTCCAAATTGGTAACCTCGTGTGCGAACTTATTTTTCATCTTCTGGATTTTTGTGCGTTCCTGTTAATTTTTTGTTTTTCTCTTTTTCGTTGTGAAGATTAATTTTTCCTAAGTTTACGATGTGGGATACTTTGTCAATTGACAACGAAAACGGCACATCGAGTGCGGGACCGCCGTTACTTCCGCCGCCAGTGGCCATTCCGCCGAAGGCATCTCCGAGTACCGATGTCGCAGTGGCCGTGATTGCTGCCGTTCGCTTACCATGTTTTTGGCGTCACTCACCGAAGCAATGGTTTACGCACGCGGAGGCAATTTTTTCAAACCAGCGTATACGGTCCGATCTAACTCGAGTTAATTACGTTTTCGCGTCATTAGACAAGGACGGTATCCGCATGGTTTCGGACTTACTCGATGCAGAAATACAGTATAGTCAGATCAAGGACAGACTTATTGCAACGTACGCTGTTCCGTAAGCAACATGTTTCCGCTCCATCGTTCAACCCGGCGGGTTAGGCGACCGACGCTCATCGCAGTTGTTACGCGACATGCGTAGCGTTCTACCGGAGGGAATAGGTGATGCGGCTTTGAAGGAGTTTTGGTTGCAGAAGTTACTACATTCCATAGTCACTGTCATCGCGGGCCAGGACGGAAGTTTAGACACTCTCGCCGTGAAGGCCGATCGGGTGATGGACGCAAGTGCGGCTCATAACATCGCTTCTGTTTCCGCAAACGTTGCTACTTCGAGCGATTCTGAACGCCTACGTGCCATCGAAAATTCAATTTTGGCTTTAACAGCGCAGATCTCTTCTTTAGCCACCGTGCATGCTGACAGCCGCCCTTCACGGTCCACGCCGTCCGGCAATTTTAATTACCGTCGTTCGTCGTTCTCTCGCTCTCATTCACGCTCGCGTCCACGAAACGATTTAGTTCCTTAACGCCAACAACACAACGATACCCATTGTGTTGTTGGCGTTAAGGAACACGGTAAAGGAGGATATTGGTTCGGCTCCCGCCGAGTTGGTCTACGGAACGTCACTTCGTCTGCCCGGAGAACTGTTTCACTCAGTCCCGCTAAATGCTCGTACGCCGGAACTAGTCCGAGATTTGAAACAGTTTATAGCTGAATTATAACCGAAGCTTGGGTCAAATCACGCGCCGCGACGTTCGATATTTGTGCCACAATCGTTAGACAAAGTTAGCCACGTATTTCTGCGTATTGACGCCGTACGACCACCGCTTAGTGCCAAATACGAAGGCCCCTACGCCGTACTCGAGCGTCGCGAGAAAACGTACAAAATTCAGTGTGATCGCAGGGCAGTCTGGGTATCGATCGATCGTCTAAAACCCGCTTTTGTACTTCGTGACGATCCACTTTTGGACCATAGCTACGCCGTCCAGTCTTGTGAAGTTCAACATCAGCGGAAAAAACAGGTCAGTTTTTTTTTTCCAAAGGGGAGTAATGTGGCGACCCCTGCCACTATCAGCAGCTAGTCATCTTCAGTGTTACCGTTTTTATGTCGCGTGATTATTTTATTGTATTTTGTATTTTGTTAAACATTGTTGGTATTCGTCGTGAGTTTTGATTATGTAATCGTCCCTACCTGTGTACCTTATTAAATGTGATTTTTAAAATTAACCGTCCTCCCTTCTAGTTAGTCACCGTTCGATCTCTGAGAGAAATTAATTTGTCGCGTTACCTTTTATATTTTTGTACGTCCTTTTGTTTTGCCGACGAATTCGTTTATTTCAATTTGTTAATAATTATTTTATACGAATAAAGCGCCTATTACGCCTTTGGCGTTAGTTCAAATATTTCTTGTGTTATTATTTTATTTAATAGCTTTTAATAGTTATAACGATCACTCTGGAGGACTTAACCTCCAAAAATACCATGATAAGAAATTAGATTAGGCAGTTAATACTTATCACTCTCATTCAAAAGTATAAGTCATTTTCATGGAAAAAGTTACACACCTCCAAATTATAGTAATCATGAAAAAAAAGATTAATTGTTGTTATTACAATTGTTGTTTATCAATATTACGGTAGGTTCGTACGTAATCTTAATAATCAATATTTCTTTATATCAATAATCGCGTCATCGGGTTCAAATCATTAACCAAAATTATTTTATTTATGAATTTTTTTTTTAATATTACGTACTAATTTTTTTCAGTGTGGATGTAGCTTTTTTCAAATGGCGTAGTTGATCAATAGCCTTTAATATTTAGAGATATAATTAAAAACATAATACGAAAAACAAATTATATAAAATAACAAGTTTTTAAAATAGTATACGGAGAACTAGATCAAAGTAAAAAAATTTACTGCATATAGTACGTAGACAATTACTATTTATGTTATGTATGCTACATTTTACCTTATTATACATTTTATGTATTTCTTTCTTTTTGTGAAATCTATTTCTACGGTTTACTTATACTTGAATTTAAAATTATTATAAATAATATATAATAAATTATATAAAAGGATATACAAATCCAGTTCGTATTAACCAACCTGACGGTTGAAAACAAAAAAAAAGAGCGAGGGTATTGACGAAGATGTGGGACACAGGATCAAGTGCGGGTGGTTAAAGTGGAGAGAAGCGTCTGGTATCTTATACGATAAAAGAATTTAAATTAAGTTGAAAAGTAAATTCTACGTGCGGGTGGTTGAAGTGGAGGAAAGACTGTGGTGAAACCAGCTATGATGTATGGTTCAGAGTGTTAGGCAGTTGATAAGAAAGTAGTGAGAAGAGAATGAGTGTAGCAGAGATGAGAATGTTTAGATGGATGAGCGGAGTGACCAGAAAAGATAGGTTAAGGAAAAAACATATAAGAGGGAATATAGGTATAGCGTCAATCGTAGATAAGATGAGAGAAAATAGACTTAGATGGTATGATCATGTTATGAGGATAGAAGAAACGAAAGCTGTAAGAAAAGTTATAAAATAATATTTAATAATATTATTTTATAACATTATTTATAATAATATTATAAATTAATATTTAATTTTTTTTCATTATGTTCGTAAACTATTAGTTTTCATTGAATGTTTGAAATAATATTTTTATTAATTGATCACTAAATCAATTTTAGGCTTTGAAATCAAATTTAACGTATTAAACGTGTCGAATAACCAAATAATCTAATTTTACTTAGTCTTTATCAGTAAATTTTTTACTGGCTTCAACAAATATATAATACAATATTTTGAAACATATCGCCCAATTGAATTAATTAGTATCATATAGATAGGTAGCTCTCAAACCAAAGTGAAACTTTTAATTGGTATTTATAATTGTATTGTGGTATCCCGTACACTATTTATATTTATTATTACATTGTGCAATGAAAGCGCTTCTATTTCATCATTTCGTTTATTGTCACTATTATTTTGTTGAATCAGTTGGTTACGATTCAGTCTAATTACATTGCAACTTCTCCACCATCTGTACCATGGTCTTAAATTATCACGAATTATCATATACATTGACATTCCATAACCTAATAGTGTAATAATTATGAATAACGCCACTACTGCACGACCCCAAATTTCTGGGTACCTTTGAAATAATTATAACAATCAAATTATTATTTTAAAACTAGATAAAATTTGCATACTTTATAGGACTGTTCTCGGAGATATTTTGAATATTGATTTTAAGCTGGCTAAATTAATGAAACAGATTAACAAAATAAAGCTGTTTTCTCCGAAATATATCGTTTATATTACAATCTATTTAGAAGTGCTAATTATATTTTAATAATAAGAAATCATTAGAGAATTAATAAGTAAAGTTGGCCTTTCGGGTGATTTCAACTCCTTCACACTAATTATAGAAAAAAATATATTTAATCCCACAAATTGTACTTATATTAAATATTTATTTTTTGAATAGTGTATGTTGTATATTACTACACGATATGAGGACATCTGATGTAAACGTAGATGATGTGGGAGATTGTGTCAAGTGGAAGTTTAGAATAAGGGTGGCCGACCCCAATTAGTGGGGATTAAGGCGAGGAAGAAGAAGAAGTATGTTGTATATTGCTACTATGTTGAGTACACATTATCGTGAATGGTAAAATCAGAGTGAAAGATTAGGACCTATCTCGAAATGCCAATTCTTTTTTTATAATAAACAATTGATTATTATTATTAGTTTTGTTTAACTCGCTTTTCTTAAAAAAATTCAAGCATAATACTTTTTGTTGGACAAATCTATTTTAAATGATGATTTATAAAATATGACCCGAGATTTGTATTACATGAATATATGTTGTAATAATTATCACCTGGGATCTAAAGTTTTGAATTGGCGCATTGCTATCGTTAAACACGTTATCAAAAAAATGACCACAGTTGTCAGTATAATCATAACTGAAAGATCCGAGTACAGTATATGTCGATGAGGAGGGTGTCGAACCCAAATTACTAATGATCTTAAAGCAGAATATCGTCGTTGTCTCTCAGCCTGAAATCGAAAGAGGCACAACTCACATTTGTCATCCCCACATTCATTTAACCATTTTTCTAGACACGTTAAGTGAACGTGTCCAACAGATCCTTTAAAAAAGGTAATATTACACTTGTTTTATACTAAAAAATGTTGAGTTATTATTGCAAATCACTGTTAAAGCTATAGGATACAATTTATTTTACAAATCAACTACCTTGGGTACGTGAGCGCCAAAATTATAAAATTACAGTTTTTGTTCTTTCATTTATTATATTTATTCTGAAGTATTTCTTAGACCTTTAATTTCACGAATATGTCTGCACAGTGCTTGTGTAACAACGATATAATTCTATAATATATAGAATAATTATATTTATAAATATAGAATTTAATCATTTTAATTTAATAATTATTTTTAACATCTTTTTAAAAAAGACGTATACTGGATGATTCTTTTAACGCTATAATAAACAAATTAAAATAATAATTATATAAATAAATTAGGTATTTATACTTCTTCCCGTCTAGATATAAATATGTATATAACTTTTGAAGTAGTGAGTTCAAAAGTTGATATCGACCAGTCATTTTCTTAATTTGATCATTTACTATTTTATACGCTATTTAAATACGTATATTACGATTTAAACAAATTAACTTAACACCCTCATAAGATATAAGAAATGAATCTAAAAAATATTTTATAACAGATAAATGAATGTATATATAATATATATATAACTAATAAAATCAAAAAATTATGTTTCAAAAAACTTATTATTTTAAAGGATATGTGACTAGCGTCAAAAGTATCGTTTTGTATATTTTTCAAGAAATTAATTGTAAAAAGAATATCATACAATAGCAAGAACATTTTACTACTAATTCCTATCTTGTGATTTTTACATAAATAAAAAAATTTACAAAATTAATTTATTTGGCGCTCATGTCTTTTCGGTCCACTGGTAATATCAATATTACAAAACAGATAAAATGAAAAAGGACACTTAAAAAAAATACATTATTTTTTATGGGGACATAAAATTATAATGTAAAGTGAAATAATGTAACTGCCTTTAAATGAAAATATAACAAAACAACAATAATTAATACTATTTTTTAGCACCCAATTTTATTGTTAAGAATAGTACATGTATTTATGTTAATTAACAATATTTTTTTTAAATATTGAAACTGAACAGAATGATAAAAAAGGGGCTATTCTTTAATTATAATAATCGTTTTTATTAGTTTCTAATTTACTGTAATATGTTCAGATAATGGATATCTCATGAATCTGATAAAGTGTCACAGATATAAAATAAACGGTGGTACAAAGGGGTCACAGCACAGTGTAGACATAGCATAGTTGGGACAAGTATAGATCATACCTAACAGTGATTAAAATTACTACCATAAGAAACACTTCTATGCGAATCTATGATAGTGTTTATTTTTAAGAAATTGATGAATTATTACAAAAGCAAAATTAATTGCTGGATGTTATACTTTATAAAAAAACAATTTTGGTACTTATGAATAAATACACTGGTCTACAAGGTACTTTCATCAGAAAAATATACTTATCTAAATCAACTTTTTGCACAGTTTTCAAATCTACTATAGACTTTATCTATTACATCAAAGTTTTAATATTAATACTAATTATTAAAAAATGAGTATTTATATATCAAAAATTATTAAAAACAAAAAAAAATTTTGTTTTTAAATTATTACTGATTCTGATTTTAATTATGTTAAAAATAATCAGAGCAAAATATAATTTTTAACCAATTTTTTGGTCTTATAAAGTTGGTTTTTTGGAAGTTTAAAATAAAATTGAATTTTTTTCCATGACATTTATCTTAACTTGCAGGTTTGAAGTTGACATCATTAAATACACAATTTTATGAGAAATAAAAAAAATGTATTATTAAGATTAATATGCAATTAGGAAATTTTATAATTATTATTTACAGTAAATTCATGAGAAAAGGTCAATTTTTTTTTTTGCATTTTTATCGTAATAGACTACGTAAATCATTCCTAAGAAACATTTATTTTTTTTAAAAAAGATTCTACAAGTGAAATATTCATAACTTATTTATTTTTAATGATTTATTTAAGCTAAAAAAAACAAATCAAAATATCATTTCAATTTAGCGTTTTATAAAAATTGATTCAATATTGTAAAAATTCAATGTTAAATTCAGGTCAAAATAAAAATCATTTATATAAACTTTAATTTTTATATTTTCGAAAATTAAACTTGCTAAATTATAATATAAAATATACTTTACAGCCGACGTGGCCGACTGTGAACTCGATAATCTTTTTTTCGGACCTTTTGTAAAGAAATTTTACACCACTAGTAAGATACAAAGTAAAATTATTTAAATTTATAGTTGAAATTTATTACTATAACAAACCTAATTCGACAATAAATACTTTAAAAACATTAGAAATTAATGATTTTTAATTATCTATATGGAGAATGTGAACTACGTAACTGTTAAACTGATAAAGTAGAATTTTTTTTTTCAATTTTTGAGGGCAATATCTTCAATTATAAATGAATTGTAATAATTTGACATATCGTTTAAAAAAGTAAGTCAAGTGAGAGCTGAGAAAATAAATGACAGCCAAAGAAAAAACCACATAGTTAAATAATTTTAATATGATTAATATATTCCTTCACAAGGCGAAATTATAATGATGGGGTCCTTAATTATCATTGAAGTTAATAAATCTTAAATGAATTAAAATCAAATGAGTTGAATAATTTTTTTCTAACTCAAAATAATTAAGAAAAAAATGCAATTAACTCACAGACGAGTTCGTATATGGTACCACAAGCGTAATATCCACCAAATTTTTTTTTTATTGGCTTAAATCATGCTAAAACTATCCTAGAATCAAAATCTTCAACGCCCAAGAACTGATCTAAACTCAAAATTCGTTTAAATCAATTTTTACAGAACAACTTTTATGCTCCAAAATAACATTTTTGGCTTATTTTAGCGATGCTTGTTTTTTTGAATTTCGCGGCTTTGTAAATTAGTATAAGTTACCTATGATCGATATCGTGTTTTGAATTTGAAGTATAGAGGTCGCTGCATCAAATTTCGACCGTTACAGCGTCTGTACAGCACGTGTTTACTCACAATTTCCCTTTGTTTAGTCGATCAGCCGTTCTCGTTGTGTACGTTCTTAGTTTGAGTTTTGCTATACTTTTTAACAGTGAATTATATTACAAAATTATGAGTGACAAGGTGTACGGTGGCTACAAAGGCAATAAAACAAGAAGTATCAGAACAACCCGGAGTAAAATTAGTAACCGACACCCGCCTAACCGACACCCGCCTAACCGCCATGCGTTCGAAGGCGATTCGGAGTACGTTAGTATCTTGACGTAAAAATTAAAAACTTCTGATTTAAACCGTGATTGCAATGTTGATAGGAATTTCGGCTACTGTTTCATACATTTTTTCGCTGTATATATTGCTCTTTCTGAATTATTAATGTGTAAAAAATGTAATAGTGATTTGCGGTTTTCACAGTCGAGCAAGCGTGAACTAGGCTTCAAGATTGTTGTGTGTTGTTCGAACTGCGGTGATGTTGATATTTTTAACTGTCCCTCTAATACATGATCGTGCTTAAGAGATCAATTGCCGTATTATTTTTGCTATGCGCGTCATTGGCATAGGCATCAACGGCATAAAAAAGTTCTGTGCGATGATGGATCCGCAAAGCCTGTTTTTCAAACAACTTACAGTATGATCACTTCCAATATCGGCCCTGCTACTTCATCTGTTAAAATTATTTCTATGAAAAAAACAGCTATTGAAAAGAAAAACCGTTCTATTGAACAAGGTGAAGAAGGGGCAGTCTTACGGAGTCAGGCGATGTATCTTGGCGTAAGAGGGGGTTTTCATCTTTGTTTGGATTAGTTACTTTGATTGGTTGGCACACTGGCAAGGTATTAGATGTGTATGTAAAATCAAATTACTGTAAAGTGTGTGAATATTGGCAAAAAAAAGAAGGTACTGCTGAATACGAGGAGGTGTACCCTTTGCACAAAGAGAGTTGTGATGCCAATCATGAAGATAGTGCCTGGAAAATGGAAGTCGACGCCGTCACAGAAATGTTCAAACGATGCGAAGAACTCCATAATATCAAATACTTGAAATACATCGGCGATGAAGATTCAAAAACGTACAAAGCTATAGTCAATTCAAAACCGTATGAAGATGTCATCGTTGAGAAAAAAAAATGCGTCGGCCACGTGCAAAAGCGCATGGGAACGCGGCTGCGCGATTTGAAAAAAAAATAAGTCTTGGCGGACGAGGAAAATTGACCGGAAAATTAATAGATGAACTTACAATTTAATACGGACTTTTAATTAGGAGAAACTCCGATTCAGTCGAAAAAATACGGAATGAAATTTGGTCAACGTTATATCATAAAATGTTGACGGACGAGAATCCATAGCACGAGAAGTGTTCCATCGGAGTAGACTCTTGGTGTTCTTGGCAGCGCAGTAAAGCGCTTGGTACTCTTGCAACATACGAGCACAAGATTCCAATGCATGAAGATGTTTTCAAAGCGATACAACCCATTTATAAAGAACTCAGCTTCGACAACCTTCTGTCACTCTGCTTGGGGGCGTATTCTCAAAATAGTAACGAGTCCTTCAATGCTGTAGTGTGGTCAATTGCTCCAAAAACGATGTCTAGCGGTAAGACTATAGTTGATATTGCGACCGTGTAGCCGTTATTACTTTCAACGAAGGCTTGTCGGGTCTGTTTGTCGTTTACGATGCTCTTGGGTTAACCGTTGGACCGAACATGTACGAGTTTTGCATGGGATCGGACGCCAATCGCGTCAAAGTCTTACATCAGACAAAATAAAGGAAGAAGAGGAAAATAAGGACCAGGAAGGACAACTTTACGGCGCAGGGATAGCTGACTGAAGGTAAAAAACTTATTAAGGACTATATTATTGCGATTCTTAACATTTATAGCATTTTGAAACTTTAAACGCATTTTACTCAAAACTATGTTTTCAAAATCGGCGAGCAGTAGAACTGAAAAAGTTTACATCCGATTGACTTGAAATTTTAACTGTAGCTTCTTTATTAGATTATCTAGTGAAGTACACACGATTTTAGCGATTGATTAACAACAACAAAAAGTTATAAACAATTAAAGTCGATTATTTTTTGCCGAAGAAAAAAAATTCTAAAAATATAATCATGTGTACTTCACTAGCGACACTCGTGTAGATAATGAAAACATTTTTTTTTTATATAGGTGGAGTTGGGCACGACTTCTACTGCTCGCTGCGGAAGAACGTTTTAAAAAAGCGGTTCACGGCAATCGCTGCACATCCACAATTTTGTAAAAAAAATAATAATAAAAAAATATTTTTCTATTCTCCAAGAGTTGCTTAATCCAATGACATATTATTTATATACCTTAGATCTCAAATGTCCTTTAAAAAAAATCACGAAAAAAGCCTTGTTTTTTTGAGCTTTTGGTGGATATTACCCCTTAAAGACTTAAGTGTTATCGACACAGGAACCGTATATCGCCTTGTCTGAAGATAAAAATGGCAATATAAGCCAATTCAAATTTCAAAGTTATTTTTCTCGACTTAAAAGTCCTATAAATATATAAATTAGATTTATATAATATTCATGAAAACGGTGTCTTCCCTTGTTAGTAAGTTTAAAATAAATTAAAACTAAAGAATTTTAACACAAAATGAGCATACTGTTGAATGTGGTAGCTATTTTTTACATGAAGACAATGTATATTTTGAAATTTTTTTTTCCATAGTGAAATATATTACATGAGTTTTAATTTTAAATATATATAAGTGTCAGTAAAATTCAAAACATACACAAAACTTAAGTTGGAAAAAATAAATTTTTGTGGAGAAGTTGCTATTTTGAATGCGCCCCCGTGAGAAAGTAAAGGATTAGATTTTCAAAAAATATATATTAAATCAAAGGGAAATACTTAAGGTTTTTATATAAAAAAAATTATTTTAATTCGTTCTTTTTTGAAAAATCGCCGATTTCTGAGTGTCCATTCCAATTTTATCTATTTTGTGTTAATATTACACACATGAAATTATAACAAAGAATATTAGTTTGTCCATTTTTGATATAAAATATAAATAATTATATATTATTTATGTTATTTAATAATATAAACAATTATATCTTTCACTCGATTATTGACTTTTTTTTAATGTGATTAGAATTTTAAACATTTTAAATTAACAAAAATACATCTCAGCAAGATAAAAAAATGAATACATAAAAAATCATATATTTTGATTGAGGTTACCTTTACAAAAACATGGTTGCATGAGTTGTTCATAACTTCCTCCAGAATGACAAATTTTACAAAAAACAGTTGATACTTTCTGATTAATTGATGTTATATCAACACTAGAAGATTTGTCCATCTGTAGAGGATTTGATGTGATCGCAATAATCTTTGACATGTGTCTAAATATATAGTTTCAAAATATTAACATGAGGTATTATGAATGAAAGGCCTAATTTTTTTCAGAAATAAATATTATCATTTTAAAACGGAAATGGATAAAATATTTGTTTATCAAAACAAAAAAAATAAGCCAGATATAACAGGTTATCATTGATAATTATGATCTAAGTATTAATCTAACTTGTTTTATATATTTAGGTCAAATTTCTTTAGTAAATTTTGACTCATTATAATGTTATAATGTAATTATTGACTTGAATTCTTAAAAAAGAATTTATATAGAATTCTATAATGTATAGAAATGTTAAAAGATACAAAAAGCACTCATAATTTTATATTATCCATATGTTATTGATAAACATACAAAAGAATAAATTTTAATTTTATGCTGTTTAGATTATACTGTCTTACTGCGGTAAGAAAAATTAAGATATAACTCTGAATTAAAATTGATTTCAGAAAAAATGATTTGTCTACAAACTGTATAAAAAGCTATAATAAATAATAATCTTATATAAAAAAACTTTTACTAGAATCATTTTATTTTAAAATAATAATAATATTTTTGTTACAACCTTGTTATATGCTTACGTGCAAACCGAGTGGCTTCATCTGCCACAGTTGGCTACATCATTAGTAGGGTAAAATAGAGAGTTCTGGTCCCCCCCGCTTCACCCACCCACCATTCCATGTTGTGATTTGGGCGAGGGGGGGAGTAAATCCAACGTAAACTAACATAATACATCGGAGGGGGAACGATGATGTAACCCAACGTAAACTAACCTAAGAAGAACCTCTCCACCTCTGACAAGTCTTAGGGTGGGGGAAGTAAATCCAACGTAAACTAACCTAAATCAGGTGAGGAACCTCTCTTCCACAACCAAGTCTTATGAGAGAGGGGTAATGAAACTTAAGGTAAATAAACCTTTAGGTGGGAGAGGGGGAATGAAACACAACGTAAACTAACACAACTTGTCACGCGTCTAAATTATGCTCGGTCATAAATACATAATATCGGTTTTTTGACGAAAAAAAAAAAATGCATTTTCCAGGTAAGCTATACGGTTACGGTGAAAAGTACGAATTTTAAACGTCGAATCCGCTATTTTGATATGCCACATGCATACATTTAGATAAAGTCCATACGTTAAATGTTAATTTTACCTAATTTGTGAAAAAATAAATTAGTTCGAAACATTGTGTGCCAGATGGCTGTATTGATGATTACACTATAGCACTTGAGATTAATACACCAGATGGCCCAACGCGGCGGCGACGGCGTCGGCGATGTCGCCGTCAATTAGATTAATTGTTATTATACGAGTTAATAAGCTTGACCGTTATTCGTATAGTGAATAATAAATCAAAATTTTTTTTTTGTAGACAATATACAGAATGATTTTTTTATCATAACCAACTCAATTACTTATGCTTAATTAATTAAAGTAATTACCCTCTATTTATTTCGATAATACCAGATAGATTATTTTACAATAGGTATTAATAACCTATAGTAAATACTACACGTAATTTAGAAATATTTATTTATTTTACTATAATCATTAATATACATTTTATTTATGGAAAATATATTTATTGTACGAATACAAATGAGAATATTGCAAAATCATTTTTTGACAATAATGTTACATATTATAATTCATCCATTGTTTTAAGCAGATTGCCTTGTATAAACTACACACTGTCGGGTTGTTCATGTGTCGGATACAACACATTTTTGTAACACAACTTAAATTGTACAGCGGTGGGCAGTCCAAATCCTCGACGTTGACTATACGTTGTCCCGGTATGTACTTTTCCACTACTCGCTTTTTCACAGCTCCTTTCACGTAGATGGTCTCGCACCGCAACAGTTTCATGATTCTCGGCAACTCATTGTATTCAACGTCACCGCAACGAGTATCCATTCCATGTAGGTATTTTTTCAACCAAAAGTTTGTTTTAGCATCACCCTCGATACTTTTTGGATGTTTAAACATCCAATGAGCGAATGAAGTACAGTCTATAGCAATGACAGTCAGTTCCTTGACCAAAAACGATCGGTCGGCTGCCACAATACCTTGTATATCGACAATCATTGAGGTGAGATATTGGTTTTGGGTATCCATGAATTGTGCTCTGGACCAAATCCTAACCATTTAACGAAGCACTGGTCCCCTCGTGTTCGCAACACTCGTTCGACTAAATACATGTCCGGATAACTGGTCTTGTTCAGCTCTTCGGTGTAAAACAAACCACGTATTGGATTTCCCTGATAGTCTTCTAGATAGTATGTTGGCGGTACTGTTTGCCTAACCTTAACTACGGTAAACAGTTCGGTGCTCCAGTTTGGTAAGTAACCCTTATCAAACACTGATTTATGTACACTTATCCGCACCTTGTCTCCCACACGGAATTTTACCGGTAAATTATCCGGTATTTGACGCAACTTGAACCGAACCAGGTCTGGGTTTTTCACCGCTTGCACCGGTGTCATACCGATTGTTCTATGTTTACGCACGTTATTGTAGTCGTGCAACAGCGCAGACAACCGATTCACCCATTTGTACGAACCACGTGCACTAAAGTCACGCCACATTGCGTTTTTCAGCGTGCGGTTAAAACGTTCCACTAGACACACTTTCATCATGGAATAAGTAGAGTAATGATTGATTGCGTATTGTGACATCAGTTTTTGAAATTGTCTATTGTAAAATTCTTTACCATTGTCCGTTTGCAAAAGCTTAGGATGACGACCATGTTTCAGTATTCCGTTCATGGCTGCGGTAACTTCGTTGGCCGTTTTATTTTTCAACGGGATGGCCCACGCGTATTTTGAAAATCCATCGACGCACGTTAAAATATACCGATGTCGTCGATCAGGGTATGCGCGCATTTCCACGAGGTCAGCGTGCCATATATCATCGAGACCCTTGATATTTATCCGGGCACGGGTATACGTCCTGCGAGCCTGCCGGTGTAGTTCGTTAGCAATGTTCTTATTCATAACGCCGCTGGTATCTGTTCAATGTAACCGGCTTCCTGCAGCTCTTCCAATATAGAAACGATTTCTTTGGTGAAACTCCAGTGTTGCCAGTCGACCGGGCTGATATCAATAAACGTAAACGTTCCACGAGCTCGTTGGGGTCGTCCCAGTAAACGTAATCTTTTTTCTTGTTGTTCAATCTCAATTGTAGACCCGCACCGATAATGGATGTGTCACTGATGTTGCTGCTGCTGCTTTCAAACAACGGTAAGGAATTGTTTGGGTTACCACCATAACCGTTATCAAACAATGGTTTAATGGTGTTTACATACTTTTGACCTCCTTTTTTCAATGTTCCGTCTTTATTTAAATGCACACCGGTTTTGCCGAGAATCGTTTTGTACGCATGCAAATCCGATTCGGAGTAAACTCCAGGGTTTTTCGAAAACAGTAAATCCACAAGACCCATAGTCAGAGGGAATTTTTCATCTAAAATATTAATTGTTCCTCTGTCGAGAAAGATATTGTCGGCTTCACCTAACGTCATTGTTCCATCTGGTGATACCTTTGGTCCATACATTTTATCTCTGTTGGGGTTCATTGACCATTGATACATGTACTGATGGAAAAACCCGTCATCGTGTTCCACAGTGTATATATCATCGTTTAAACTCTTGATAGTTTGCTGTAATTGTTCTTGTTGTTGTTGTTGTTTTTGCTGTTGTTGCTGTTGCTGTGACGCAATTTTATCTAATGGTTCAATGATTGGCGCCAACTGACGTTTTACGCGAGTCAACGAATCCGCTTCTCCACGACGCAATTCTGTGTACTTTTTTCGAACATTTTCCCGGGCTTCAGTCAACAGTTTCAGCAATGTTTCCTTATCGGCACTCATATTGTAACAAATGTGTCAAACTTGTATCTGTATCGGCCGTCGTCTCGCGCAAAGTCCAAACAAATCACTGCGAATCCGTACCGATCCTTGTTCCAACACTCTTTGCAAAACTCTTTGAATTCTCCAAATTTCATATCGCAACACACGTATTCATCGTACGCGTGTCGTAGATTAACTTCATCCTGCCGGAACAACACCACCACATTTGTGTTGTCACGTAACATTTGTTTTTGTATGCGCGACAGTGTTTGGGAGAGAAAAAAAACATCAACTTGCCTGTGTCGTCCTCGCGCGAAATAATCACACATTACATTTTGTTTTTCCATGACAACATCGTCGAATATAAAAACCGAATTGAGCAGGATGTTGTCCACCGACGGTACATCGTCGCCGTTTTCATAGGTAAACAACTGCACTCCTTGGACGCCGCGTAAAACATCCACGAGTAGTTGATACTTGCACTGATGCAACGATTTCGAGTAAACGTAAACATTTTCAAATCGAAGTCCGTTGATATCGGTCAATAGAGTAAACATCAAGTTTGTTTTTCCACAATTTGACGGTCCGCAAATCAATGCACGTATTGTATTTGGCAATAGTTTACCGTGTTTACTAGGTGCAATCTCACTACTTTTTTCAAAATTCACGATAGGTAGCGTGAGAGTCTGTTTTTTGAAACGCATCGCACGTCATCGAACAATAACTGTCAATATGAAAATAATGGTTAAACAGAGACAACGTGGAAAACGAGGTGCAGGGATATTGAATACTGTAATCAACAAATTACCATTCGAAGCCCACATTCCAGGTGTGTGTAATTATTCAAAATAATTCCTCGCAAATAGTTTTATCATTATTTTAAATGTTTATCATTTAGGTTATCAATTTGCGGGTCCTGGAACACGGTTAGAAAAGAGATTAAAACGAGGTGATATTGGGGTGAACCCGCTTGATGCTGCTTGCCGCAATCACGATATAATTTATAGTAAATACAAGAATCTCGAAGACCGTCATAAAGCAGACAAAGTGTTGGAACATCAGGCTTGGGAACGAGTNGAAGACCATCATAAAGCGGACAAGGTGTTGGAACATCAGGCTTTGGAACGAGTGTTGGCCAAAGACGCTAAATTGCCTGAACGAGTCGCAGCTTGGAGTGTAACCAACGCGATGAAATTGAAACGTAAACTCGGTATGGGTTTCAAACGAGTTGTGCATGCGGCCAAACTCAATAAAAATGCCCAACAAATGGATTTACTGAGTGTGGCAAAAAAATCGTTGAAGGCGGCACGACGTGTGGTGAGAAAGAAAAAAATTCCACTGCCCCGTACCATAAACGTTCCGAAAACTAAAGGCGGTGTACTACCGCTTATACCTATATTTGCCGGACTGTCGGCGTTGGGAGCTTTAGCCGGCGGTGCTGCAAATGTGGTCAAGATGGCTACCGAACTTAGCCGTAAAGGCAATACAGCGATAAGCATGGGTAAAGGATTTTACTTGCAACCATACAAATCGGGGTCTGGTTTCAAATTGACGACGAGTACGAAAAAGATGATTCGAAAAAATCAGACGAAAAAAACAAAAAACTAATTTCGCAGCTACCCGATCGTGCCTTGTACGATGTTGAAATTGCAAATTTCGGTAGTCGAGCGTTCGACCATAAAGTGTTTCGTGGCGTGTTTTGTCGTGACACATTACCTAAGTCGGGACCGAAAATGACCGAAATGGCTGTAGTGAACTTGGATCTTTCCACTAACCCTGGCACGCATTGGGTAGCTTATAGTAAACGCGGTAAACGTGTTACGTATTTTGACAGTTTTGGTAATTTACCACCACCGTTGGAACTGCAACGATACTTTAAAGGATGTACAATCGTGCACAACTATAGTAGATGTCAAAACTTCGACGAGGTAAATTGTGGTCACTTGTGTTTGGAATTTTTAATCGAACAACAACAACAACATGACAACAACGGTAACGTTAACCGGTGTGGGATCTGAATTGCAATGTACATTCAATCCACCCATCGATGTCGGTGACAAATGTAAAATTGGGCTATTGAGCTTGCATACGTGGAACACTATACCTAATATTGACGAGGATTGTAACAAATTCATTTTCGGCACTGTTGACAAACCAATTATGGTGATAACACTACCGACGGGATCGTACGAATTTGAAGATTTACAGAAACGAATCACGGACAAGTACAACGGAGAAGAGTATAAGTACAGTGTGCAACAACAACAAATAGATTTTGATGATCCATTGTTGCCAACGGTTGGTTTACTCAAGGAAAACAGCAGAGAAATCGGTGACAAAAGGTTGGGTGATCGAAACGTTATCTCTTTTACAGCCGACCGCAACACTATGCGAAGCATAATCAAATGCGATCACCCCATAGATTTTACACACCCGCAATCAATCGGTCGTATACTAGGGTTCCGACCTCGTGTATTGGCACCGAAAATGGAACACACGTCCGATTTCCCGTTATCTATAACAAAGGTTACATGCATACGAGTTGACTGCAATATAATTGTTGGTTCGTACGACGGAGGTCATCAATCGCATACATTGCACGAATTCTTTCCAAACGTACCACCGGGCTACCGGATTATCGAGTGTCCCAGACAAGTAGTTTACTATCCGTTAAACACAAACGTATTGAACACGATTCGAATCGCATTGCTCGATCAGGACGGTCAACGTGTCAACCTAAGAGGTGAAAAATTAACAGTGCGTCTACACATCAAACAGGATGGATGAAAGTACGATGACGTTATGGGACCGTATAAAACAGTTTGATTCCTCACAAATTGGATTATTTTTGTGCATACTAGTCACAGTCGTGCAACTATTACTACTCCTTCAAACATCCGTCAACAGCTGTCAGCTGATAAACAGTGACAACAACAGCAACAACAACAACAACAGTTCAGCCACAATTTATCGTTTGGAAGCACTGGCTCGAGAACTTTATTCAGTCGACGACCGTGTCTTTATACTGGAAAAACGTGTTGACACTCTTTAAATGCCTCTGAGTTTCAACAGGAGTGTAGTGCACCATCATTTGAGTGATGGCATATACTCTACGACGGAGCAACCGGATAATCGTGCGACGCTATCGCAGCAGCAACTAACAAAGAAAAATATTGAATTTTTAAAATCGTTGGGTTGTCGAGTCAATCATGGCCGAGTACTTACACGTGTTGGAAAAATGTCAACAAGACGACAGTGTAAAACGCGAGTACTATCTGGAACATCAGAGTTACAACAACTCGTACGAACACAACGATGAAATCCGTATCGAGGTGCGCAACAAGGAGAAATTCACCGTGCCGTGCGAAAGTTATTTGCAAATCGAAGGAAAACTGGAAAAACCACCAGCTGGAACAGCCGGTGAAATGGTTATGGGGCAAAATTTTCTCATGCACCTATTTGATGAAATCAGATTTGAGGTAAATGGTAAAGAAGTAGACAAGATAAAATACGTTGGGATGGCTACAACCATCAAGGGATATTGTTCATTCACACCCAACGACATTCGACGATTACAACCTGCTGGATGGAAATACGCGCAAATCTTGCACAACAACAACGATTTCGTCGATGGGACTGAATTTGTGGCGCAATGTCCATTATCTATGTGCATGGGATTTTTCGAACGGTATAGGCGCACACTGATAAACTGTACTCAGACACTCGTGTTGAATAGATCGAGTACTAACAGCACTGTCGTATCAATTGTTCCACAGACAACAACAACAACAACAATAGACGATAAAGCGCAAGTTGCAATATTGATAAAACAAATCAACGTGAAAATATCGAAAATAAAATGGGTAGTAAAGTACTTTGAACCCAGCGTGAAAACTGAACTGGGTCTGATGCGTATTCTGGACAGCAAGAAATGGCTCCCGTTAGAATTTCAACACTGGGACGTTGCCGTTTACCCATTGGTACCACAGACAACTCATCACACGTGGTCGNGTTGGTACCGCAGACAACTCATCACACGTGGTCGGTGCGCACCTATTCGAATGTGGAAAAACCTAGATATTTACTTATTGCCATGGGTAATGAGGACGAACACGTTCTCGGAGATTTCAATCACTGTTCATTGAGAAACATCAAAGCGTATTTCAACGCTGACGAATACCCGTACGAAAACCAAAACGCCGATTTCGACAACAACAAGTACACAACGTTTTATAACTCGTACGCACAATTCCAGACAATGTATTACGGTCGTAAAGACCCCTATCCTTTATTGGACTATATAAATTACAAAAAACGTGGACCTATAGTCGTGATTGATTGTTCTAAACAAAACGACACCGTCAAGTCTTCAACGGTTGATCTACGCTTGGATTTCGAATGCTCCAAACAGTTTCCCGATAAAACATCATTGTATTGTGTAATTATTCACGACTGTCAAATGGAATACAACGCATTCACGGGAGAAGTACGAAAACTTTAATGTAAATACATATAATGTATAAATATATATAATTTTTTTTTTTTTAATAAAAAACTAGTTGTTTTGTAAACTTGTTATTTTATTTCAATCATCTTCGAATTTGACTGGAAAAGTCACGATCTTTCTTGTCAATTTTTGGTAAAGTATCAATTCCTAGAAATTATCTGTTTGTAGCCAATTCCACCAGATTGGAGAAGTAATAAACACGCTGAAATTTATTTTTAAGTTTAAGTTTTAAAATGAAAAAATCAAATATTTTTAAACATACTTTCATGTGTGGATAATCACTGAAGATAATTTTCAATGTTTTAATACAATCTATACATTGATGAATCGATCAAGTCGTTGATTTTATTGAATTTACACCTTGGTGATTAAAGTCTCAAGGTCCAATAGGCTTTACTGTCGCTGCGGTTCGCATTCGTCGTCTTTTCAATTGTTTCGATTGAATCCAAAAGTTCGTAATATATTCGCTTCACAACTGAGCATGCACATTCATGATTGTCCGAATTTTTTCCCACTTCCGATAATTCACAACCTTTGTAATGTAAAAAGTCTCCACCTACACCGTTGACTTTATCGCCTAGACGTTCTGCAAAATATTGTAAATCTCGATAATTTTTCAATAGTTTACTAACTAGTTTGAAAACTCTATCCGTCGGATCGTTTTCAACAAGAAAATTCAATTTATCCGATATATCATTGAAATAATCCATCTTGCGCACACAATAGATTAACAAATACTGAGAACCTATTAGAAGTCAGCATACAATGTTATGCTGCTGCACCCTCCCTCCTCCTTTCCAAATATCTTTTAGATAATTATTTCGTGATAACGGATGAGGTGTGTACGACAAAGATATTAGAATATTACTAGATATAATAGATAACTAATATATACGTTTTAATTATTATAATTATAATATAGTTAAATATCGTTATTTATAATAGGGTGAAAATTAAAGTGAAATGTTTACACATATATGTCATTAGGATTTAAAACAGATGCCTTTGTAAAAATTATGACCGTCTGCCGTCTCTAATGCGTTGACGGATGAAGAATGCAATCCTTCCAGTCGAAGCTATTATTTTATTAAAAATAATTTATTACAGTTGTTAAATACAGTAATAATTTATAACAATGGGAGGGATACCAGTAATAATTCAGACAAAATATATATGTACGACATTAATCGATAAGTATAATACAGATTATAATAATATTATAAACATTATAATATATATGTTCCAGTGATTACGTCGTCGTCGTCGGCGGCGGCGGCGGTAGTGTTTATTTAAGAATGTGTTTTGCTATAAGAAAACTTGAAAAGTCGCCATTAGTATATATTGTCTACAAAAAAAAAATATTGATTTATTATTCACTATACGAATAACGGTCAAGCTTATTAACTCGTATAATAACAATTAATCTAATTGACGGCGACATCGCCGACGCCGTCGCCGCCGCGTTGGGCCATCTGGTGTATTAATCTCAAGTGCTATAGTGTAATCATCAATACAGCCATCTGGCACACAATGTTTCGAACTATATTATTTTTTTACAAATTAGGTAAAATTAACATTTTACGTATGGACTTTATCTAAATGTGTGCATGTGGCATATCAAAATAGCGGATTCGACGTTTAAAATTCGTACTTTTCACCTTAACCGTATAGCTTACCTGGAAAATGCATTTTTTTTTTTTTTCAAAAAACCGATATTATGTATATATGGGCGAGCATAATTTAGGCGCGTGACAAGTTGTGTTAGTTTACGTCGTGTTTCATTCCCCCCCTCCCACCTATAGGTTTGTTTACCTTAAGTTTCATTACCCCTCTCTCATAAGACTTGGAGGAGTAGGTTCTTCTTATGTTAATTTACGTTGGGTTACATCATCGTTCCCCCTCCCATTGTATTATGTTAGTTTACGTTGGATTTACTCCCCCTCCACCCCTTTTCCCATTACCACGGTGGTATGGTGGGTGGGTGAAGCGGAGAGAGCCTAGAACTCTCTATTTTACCCTACTATCATTCCTATCAAATTTAGGGACTAATTTGTTTTCAATACAAAAAACTGTAGAAAATGGCAACATAAAACTTATTGTAAGAAATTCTTAAAATAAAAAAATAAAATTAAAAATATGTATTATGGACGACACTTAATTCTGTATAGAAATTACTATTTGGGAATTTATTGGGCATTTCCACTACACCCTTGTAGTCCCAATGCTGTTAAGGATGTCAAGTTCCACACCTGGATTAATGAATTTAAAAGTAATATCTCACAATTTTTATTTTTAAAAATTTATTATAATACTGGTATCATGTTATTATGATATATATTGTTATTTATAATGAACTTTGTGTTGAAATAACCGTGAAACTACTCAATACTACGAATTCTAATTAATAATGCTGCTTAAAACTTAAGTAATCTTAGCACTTTATTAGTATAGCCGAACTAAGGTTCTCCTACACTAATTGAGGTTGTGAGATGGCTAGATAACAAATAATAATAATATTACTATTAATAAATAAAAATAACAATTTTAACACTAACTAAAATTATTGATTAAATTATTATTACACTAATGTAACCAAAATACAATTTAAAAAATTTACTGTAAAAAATATAAACAAATATTTATATTTTATCCTTTGAGTGAAATTCAACTTTACATTAATTTTATGATTGGCTTAAAATATATTTAATCTTAAAATAACAATGAATATTTATCATTATAATAAAATGTTAAATAATTTTACTAATTAAACAAATTCTGTGACAAGTTTTTTTTTGTTATTTCCATAACTTTATTAACTGTTTTATTTGTTTTTTAGATAGAAAAACAATTGATATGCCTGTTCATTGTACATATGATGTTCAGGAGTTATCCGGTAGAACAATATCCTGTTCAAGACAAGGTAGACGTGTAAGATCAAGATGTCGTAGGAGGAAAAGTCGAAGTGGTACCAGAAAAGCGGCGAGTAGAAAAGGTTCATATAGATCTATTACCAAAATGCGTAAATCTAGGTCAAGAGCAAGGTCTAATTGTATCTTAGCTAGATATCGGAGGACCACTTCGAAAAATCGTAGACCTCAGACAAGAAAGTCCAGACTGTGTAGAAGTAAAACTCGTCGTACTAGTTCAAATAGGAGAGTGTCCTATCAAACAAATAATAGACGAAAAAGTCGCACACGATCAACAAAATGTATAAAAAGGCAACAAAGACAATCGTCGGCCAGACAAGAACAGGATGATTCTATGATTGAAGTGAGTTTCGGGGAAGGAGATAATAACTCCGTTGTAGAAATCGATATGTCTGATGGAAATCAAATTAAAACAAACCACAATGAAGATGGTAATCAACCAAACACAGTAGAGCTCAGACAAAGTATTTGCTGTCAGTGTAATACGCGAAATCAGCAATCAGAGGATAAAAAAGACTACACTCAAAATTCTATAACGGTAACATCTGAAGACGATAGGTTGTCTGGTATGGAATCAAACAATATTACCTAACTGCTTTTTTTATAAATTATGTGTAACTTATAAATTATTCCAAAAATATATATCAAAAGGTTAAAACTTTCAAAATTATTTTCAGATTGTTGTACATTTAGTATTTTTATACATCATATATTTAGTGTAACATGCAGTTTCATAAAAACTGAATATTAAATATAGTAGTTATAGCAATATACTTGTGGTTTATGATTTTATCTTAAAAAAATTGCAATTTGAAGAAATAAAAATAATTATTTGTTAAAGAAATTAATTTTTCCCTGTGGATAGGAGATAAGAATACTTCCCTCTTTCAGTCGTAAGAGGCAATTAATAAGGTTGCGTCAGGTCGACAGCCGGCGTCAAATTTTTGTAAAAAAAGTATGAGTAGTCCTGAACAAAACATAGGCGAATTGTTCCATCTCGGATGTACACGGGGACAACAGGTGAGAGGAAATAAAATAATTAAAAACGGAGAAAGCTTAAGGAATAAAGTGTTTCATACCAGCCGGACAACTTGGTAATATATGTTTAAACCAAATACTATTACATAACTATAGTTATAACTGTTATATCAATTAAAGTAAAAAAAAAAATCATATACATATTATTCATACATAAATTACTATCACTGTTAATTTTCAAATTTCTTAGACTAATATTAATTACGTAATTTACAAAAACTATTGATTACAGTAGAATTTATAGGTCGATTTATGTTTTTCAACTTTGATGCAAAGGTATTAATTTTACCTTGTTCATTTTTTTTTTTTTTGTTTATCTGAGTTTCAAATCTTTTTTTCAGCTCCATTGATTTTTCTCAATGATAAGTTAACAGATCACAAATCGTATCTAGTTAAAGACATAACCCTCAAAAATTGAAAATTTTTCTCTCGTTCACCGTAAATGTAGAAATCCCCCAAAAATTTAAAATTTTTAAAATCGATAAATTTCGATATTCACTGTATTTTCTAAAAATTGCCATAACTTGTTGAAAAATGAATAAATTAAATTAATTTTTTTTTATTTTGTAACCTTAGATAATTCCCTTTCATTTTTTATAAATGTTTTAAAAATCTAACCTTTTAACAACTCACAAGAGGAGATTCAAAACTCAACTTTTATAACTTAACTTATGAAAATGTTTCGGAAATACTTCGTCCTTTAAACATATTTCAAATTAAAGCTTATGTTACATACTATAAATTAAAAAAAAAAAATTAACAAATCAGAATATATATTTTCTTCCAATTGAAACTAAGGTATTTCCATTTCATTTAGTAACCTTTTTTGAAAATCTGACACTTATCCTGCTTACAAAATCAAAATAACAACTTTTTTAATTTAACTTTTGAAAACGTTCCGGAAATAATGCGTCCTTTAAAAATATGTCAAATTAAAGCTTGTTACATACTATAAATAAATAAAAAATTGTCCCATCGACTTATCTTCTATGTGAAAACGGTTGGGTTGGGTTACCAAACTTTTTAAACATCATTGGTGAACTAATATCGTTCATGGACTATTCTTGTAAATCAAAAATATATTTGAGTAAGATGTTTAATATTGTTAAATCAGAATGTTTCTCGAAAAACTATTTATCCATATCAGGTAAAGGCGTCGAAGAACAGAAAACTGAACGTGTATCGTTAACGAAAACCTATTGGAAATAAAAGAAATGAAACCATGTCTTCTGGATGTGGTAATAGAAAAATACGAAACTTGTAACTAGTTATCAATGCAGACTAAAGAAATCTATGAAAAATCAAAGGATATTGTGATAAATAATTTTTTATTGTTATCTGAAAATTTAGTCTATACAATTGTAAAAACCATTAATATATTTTTATTGCCAAAGACGTCGATGGTATTGTGTAATGAAATAATTACATTCGATTACAAATGCATAGTGAAGCGTATATGGGAGCAGTTCTTAGTGGATTTTAAAAATCAAAGAAATCAAAATATTTTTAACACAATGAATTATTGTGCAGTGTAGAGTAAATATTTAATATTATATCAAAACTATGATGTGTTAAATTATGTATTAATTTTTGAAATAATATCAATTTAAATCAATCAAAGTATGAAGATGATAAAAACAATGATAAAGAGCATCCTAACAACGATGCAATGAATTTATTTGAATAAATTGAAAAATATCATTACATTGGTAATATTGATATTAAATATCAATATTTCTTTGACGAAAGGATTACTCGAATTGTTATTTAAAAAGATGCCCAACGTCAATTTAATCCCTTTTGAGGACATGTTAACGTATAAAAACTGTCTTATACACACTAGATTACATAGAATAATTTACGGAAAATTGAAAACGAATCAAGAATATACTAAGTAAATATAAAAATTTAATAAAACAGTTATTTAACGGGCGGCAACCAAGCGAAAACGAAAAGATTGGTGGTGTACTACCGTTTTTATCCGTTACAAATAAACGAAAAGAATATATATACTAGGACGATATAAACGAATTAGTGCAGCGACTGTGTATTTTACACCCGTCTAAGCGTGTAGGTAATACGGGAGTGTTAACAAAATCGTATTCCTGAAAGAAGAACTTAGAGAAAACAGAGTGATAAAATGAAAACTGTTAAAGAGTAAATAGCGGAGGAGTTACATGCACAAGCAAGAATGAAATTTCCGAGACGTATCGTAACGCCTTACGCTAAAGACAAAACGTGGCAAACGGATCTCGTCGATATGAAAAATTATTCTAATAAGAATAAAAACTATACTTTAATTCTCACTGTAATAGACGTGTATACAAAATACGCATGATTGAAAGCATACTTTCAAAAATAAAACCGGTAAGGTAGTAGCTACAGCTTTAATGAAACCAACGAAAGTAGCCAACGCATTAAGTGTGTTGCCTAAATCTTGATCGGTTTCAAAAAACTTTTTGAAAAAGGTAAAAAATTAGTCAATATTTATGGTGTTTTACCTGACATTGTCGTTCAAAAACCTGGTCGAGTAATTGATTCGAAAATAGTAAAACATGTTGATGACTTTTATCATAATGACGATTATAGTAGAATATGTCCCGGTATGAAAGACGTCATTAATGTAAGAAATGCTGATGGTAAAAAAAATACTAAATAGAAAATATTGATTTTGTGTAACTAAAAAGAATTATATATAAATTATAAAACGGAAAATACAAATGAAAAAATTGGTTTTTCTAAATTTGATGAATTAAGACCTAAATTAGCTAAATTTTAGCTGGACCAAGTGGTGCATATTCCGTATGTGCGTGATCCATCAAAATATAAAACTTATGATTGAAGGGGTTAAATTAAATTTAGACTTTGTCGATTTAATCATTTTATTAAATCGACTATTGTCTGTGATATTAATAACAAAATATGTATGCTCGATAATTGTGATCGATACCCTGGAACTGAAAATCTCAAACGTCAAATGTTAAATGTAGAAACTACCACAAAAAGTGATCAAATAGTACTAATACTACTGTGGGCAAAAAGTAGTAAAACTTTTTTATTTAAATTTCACACGGAAATCCATCCGTCGAAATATTTTTTTTTAGGTTGGTATAGTAATCATTAGTGATTAATATACACTTATTTTTCTGATGTACAACAAGTGCAATCGGCGATTTTTACAATGAGTGAAATTCTTCAACAAAGAAGTTCCATTATATTTTGTTTAATCAAACTTATGGGGCTGAAACGTTCAGAATATTGCAAAAGGCCTTCGGTGATAATTGTATGTCGCGATCAAGTGTTTTTGATTGCTACAAATTGTGCAAAGACGATTCAGAACGCATTGACGATGAACCACGTTTAGGACGGCCTTTAACATCAACTGATGATCAATCAAAGTCATGTTGACAGTTTTTTTTGATTATCACGATGTGGTNCAAGTCAATAAAATCAATGAATTGACGCTCGAAAATGAACGATTAACAGTCAGAGACTTTACTGGTATCGTTGGAATATTGGAAGGATCAGTGAAAACCATTATGAAAGATCATTAGGGCCTAAGAATAGTAAAAACACGATTGGTTCCCAAAATCACCCAATTTTTTTGAAAAACAGTGTCGTCTTGACGTCTGTGAAACAATGCTTTCCAACTACCAGGATGTCATCAAACATATTATTACTGGCGATGAGTCTTGGATCTATACTTACAACCCGGAAACAGATGATCAATTGGCCGAATATCGTACCAAAGGTAAGCCAAAGCTGAAGAAACCACGTCAAAGCAGATCAAAAATCAAAGTCATGTTGACAGTTTTTTTTGATTATCACGATGTGGTGTACTCCGAATTTCTTCCGACCGGCCAAACTGTCAACAAGGAATACTATTTAACTGTTATGCGTCGTTTGCGTGAAGCTATTCGTAAAAAGAGGCCAGAAGTATGGGCAGACAACTCTTGNTCAAAGTCATGTTGACAGTTTTTTTTGATTATCACGATGTGGTGTACTCCGAATTTCTTCCGACCGGCCAAACTGTCAAGAAGGAATACTATTTAACTGTTATGCGTCGTTTGCGTGAAGCTATTCGTAAAAAGAGGCCAGAAGTATGGGCAGACAACTCTTGGTTTTTGCACCAAGACAATACACCGTCACATACTTCATTGATTCTTCGTGAGTTTTTCGCCAAAAATTCAACCAATATCATTTCGCAACCACAATATTCACCTGATTTAGCTCCATGTGACTTCTGACTGTTCAGCAAATTGAAACGATCGCTCCAGGGAAACCGTTTTGAGTCAATTGAAGACATTAAACGTGAATCGCTACGCGCATTGAAGGCTATACCCGAAATTGACTTTAACAACTGTTTCGAGAATTAGAAAAAACGTTGGCACAAGTGTATTAGAGCCGGGGGATTACATTGAGGGGGACAAAATAGATTTAAAAGAATAAATAAATAATTTTAAAATTATAAACAAAGTCTCATTATTTTTTGGCCACAGTAGTAGTCAGTGGATGCATACAGATCCTACAAAACTTGTCAAAATTACTCAAAGTAGAGCAGAATTTTTGTATAAA